TGTCGGGGGCCCAGGTGCAAGCTTCCGGTCTGAGAGCACTTCCTCCTCCCTGAGTAGGGTCGATCTGCCCCCATAATTAGGCAGTGAAACCACTTCCTGCCTATGAAAATACTCATTTTAGGGTGGAGTCCTTCCACCAGGGGGACAGTCCAATGGGTCTGGGTGGTTCTGCCATGAGGCTGCCTGGGCCTCCCAGCAGAGGGGGGTCCTCCTTGAGTTAATGGGGCTGGAGGACACCCCTCCCCTAGTTTAAAGGCTTCCCATCTAAATCAAATTTGGACCGACAATCCTTTTTCCAATGGTATCCCTTCCTGCACCTGGGGCAGGGTGTAGGTGGCGGTTTGGACTCCCCCCTCCCCCTCCCCCCGCCTGTTGGTGGGGAGGGGGGGATTGTTGTGAATAGTCCCTCTTAAAGTGCCCCTCCTGCCCACACTTAAAACAAGTCCCTCTCCCCGATGGTCTTGGGGTTCCTTGGCCCTGGGCTGCCAGCGCCTGGGTGATAGCCTCAGTCATTGCCGATGTCTGAGCCTGTAAAGTAAAGCTAGTGATTGGGACTGGTGCTGTTGCATTCCCACATCCTGCGAGGTAACCACCCATCTGCTCAGGGAACTCTCTCTCAATCCCATGCAGGCTGGGCAGTGGTCTGCATTCATCCCTTCCCAAACCAGTAGCTTTACAAATTGATCTACTCGGTCTATAAAATCAGGTAGAGGCTCACCCGGTCTCACTCCTGCTATGGGGGACTCAGTGGGCCTATCATCCAGTTTGTACCACGTGGCAAGTCCTGCCTGCCTCACCTGGTCACGGTTCGGGCCAGGTATTGTGGCTTGTTGGACGCCAGTGGGGTACCCTTCCCCCATCCCTGTTAACATGGCATAAGTAATAGGTATCTCAGGTTGAGCCTGCCGGTTATTCTCCACCCGCACTCTGCATTCCTCCTTAAACAATGCACACCATTTAATTAACAGAATTGGTGAGGACGGCTTTGGCCACATCCAGCCAGTCCTTAGGGACACATGGGTGATAAGCAATGTCCTGTAATAGGGTCTGGGCCCAAGGAGAGTTTGGGCCATCCTCTGCCACCGCCTTGCGGAGCTCTTTAAGATCCTTAGCTTCCCATGGATACCATTCCAAGGGCCTGTTAGTTCCTGGTGCCAGATTGACCGGATACGCTTGGGGAAGCGAATCCTGTGGCCCAGGGTCCAGGCTCCCGGTGGCCCTTCCTTTACAGGGTAGGCCTTCCCACAGGTTACTTCCCCAGCCCTTGACCCCTCTGTGGAAGGTCGGTAGGGGTCCAGGTCTCGCAGGTCCCTCTGTAGGGTCACGTAGGGCATGGGGGAATAGAGTGGGGGCCTAAGACCATCAGGGGTGCCTGAGTCAGAGGGGGTAACCTTCACCCTCGTTTTGACTTCCACTGTGTAATTTGACCCATTCCTTTTCCTTCTCACTTCTCAAGTCCTCCTTTACTCCCTCTAGGCCTAATGTTGCCTCCTCCTCCTTCTTCTGTGAAATAGCATTATCCATACTAAGGGTTTCACTTACCCTGACAGACCGCTTAGCCTCGGCTGGTATATTTTCCTTTCGTGCCCCACGTTGGGCACTAGATGTCGAGTCTTCATCCGTCCCACGGAAGATAGACAGGGTCCAAGGAAAGGTAAGTGCACAGCTTGCCCGGTCCCCAGCCTCCCTTAGCCCCAGAGACAATCAGACACAGCAGGGAGTCCAGTCAAGCAGGAACTCCTTTATTACCACACAGCAAGCACTTTTTAAAGCAAAAGACCTCGTGGCATGGGAGGAAAAGGAACCAACCAATCACTGTAAAGGTCACACCCTATCATGCACCTAAGCTTCTAGGAGCTGTTTACACACTGAATGTAAACAAATCGGGCTCTGCCCACTCAACTCCCTCTCAGCACCATCTTTGCTGCCCTTGTGCTCTACAAATGGGGACTTCCAGGTGCTAGTGGCTGTAATCCTAGCTCTCAAGCAGCTGAGATCTGAGGATTGAAGTTCAAAGCCAGCCCAGGCAGGAAAGTCTGAGACTCTAATCTCCAATGAACCACCAGAAAACCGGAAGTGGAGCTGTGGCTCAAAGTGGTAGAGTGCTAGCCTTGAGCAAAAGAGCTCAGGGACAGCACCCAGGCCCTGAATTCAAGCCCCATATCCACCAAAAGAGAAAAAAAAAAGGACTCTACATGGGGAAATATGGGGAAATACATACCCCAGTTTGTCTCCATTAAAACTGGAAGAATAGGGCTGGGATGGTGGCTCAGTGGTAGAGCGCTTGCCTTGCATGCCTGAGGCCCTGGGTTTGATTCCTCAGCACCACATAAGCAAAAAGAAAAAAGCCGAAAGTGGCGCTGTGGCTCAAGTGGTAGAGCGTTAGCCTTGAGCTGAAGAGCTGAGGGACAGTGCTCAGGCCCACAGTTCAGGCCCCACGACCGGACCAAAAAAAAAAAAAAAGCTGGAAGAATAGGGATCCCCTGCCTGGGCTGATTTCAACCTACAATCATCCAAATTTTAGCCTCTCAAATTGCTAGGATTATTGGCATGAGCCATTGGCACCTGACTTCATATTTTATTGAACACAAAAGGACATTTATATGAAGCATTAGTAATAAAGTTACCACCTGGGAATATGTAATCCTGCCAAAAATTAAGTAGGAATTCACAGGACAGAAACATTTTTTCTGTTTTCCTCTTCTTCTCCTTCTCCTCCTCCTTCTCCTTCCTCTTCGTGTGTGTGTGTGTGTGTGTGTGTGTGTGTGTGTCTGTGTGTGTGTGTGTGTGTGTGTGTTGTGCTGGCCTGTTGATCTCACTTGGCTTTTTAACTAAAGGCTGGCTACTACTTGAGCCACACCCCTACTTCTGGCTTTTTGCTGGTTAATTGGAGAGAAAAGTCTCCTGGTTTGCTTGCCCATGCTGGCTTTGAACTGTGATCCTTAGATCTCAGCCTCCTGAATAGCTAGGATTACAGGTGCAAGCCATCAATATCCAGAATTTAAGTATATTTATTTTGAAGTTTGATAAATTGGACTTTGATTGAGGGGTGGTGGTGTTTCTATGTTACTTTCTCTTTCATACTGTTACTCTTTTTTTTTTTTTGGTCCGGTTCTGGGGCCTGAGCTCTGGGCCTGGGCGCTGTCCCTCAGCTCTTCAGCTCAAGGCTAGGCTCTACCACTTGAGCCACAACGCCACTTCCGGCTTTTTTTCCCTGCTTATGTGGTGCTGAGGAATTGAACCCAGGGCCTCATGCATGCAAGGCAAGCGCTCTACCACTGAGCCACCTTTCCAGCCATACTGTTATCTCTATAGCCTCCTCTCTCATAGCTTAGCATGCTCTTCTCCTAGGCAACACTAGGCCCATTTGGTAAAGGCAGAAAAGAAATCAGGCTCCACCTTCCCACCTTCACCTTGAGATGGCATTCCTTTGGGTCAGCTACAGCCATATAAGGCAACAAGATCCCTTTAGAGTGGCCTTCAAGTCTGGACAACTGCATACCCCTTATCTACTACTTGGGCAGCTGCAATAAATCCTAGTCCATCATAATGAAGCATCTGGTCCACATGTCCACACCAAGGTCTCCGCCCCCTAGCCTCATAGGTTATATAAGTCACCCCCAACAATAGCCGGCACTTCTCTCTTGTGAGAGGGGTCTTGCCAGTCCCCTTGTTGGCAATAAACCTTTTCTTTGTTCTTTGTGCCTGGATGTCTGCATGGTTTTCTGGCAGAACCTAACACATATGTTTTCTTTTTGGCAGTTCTGGAGGGCCTCAAGCTTCTAGAGCTTGCTGAGCAGGTGCTCTACCACTAGAGCCATGCCCCAGCCCTCTATCCTTTTCTTTTTCAGATTAGGTCTCATGCTTTCTGCCCAGCACCAGCCTCAGACTTCAGTCCTCCTTCCTATGATCCCATGGACATTTACTGCCATACTAATTTTGTTGGCTGAAATCGGAGTCTCACTAATTTTATTTATTTATTTATTTTGTCGGTCCTATCCTAGGAGTTGAACTCAGGGCCTGGGCTCTGTCCCTGAGCCTCTCTGTGCCTAGGGCTAGTGTTTTACCACTTCAGCCACAGCACCACTTCCAGCCATTTCTGTTTATGTGGTGCTGAGGAATCAAACCCAGGGCTTCATGCATGCTAGGCAAGCACCCTACTACTAAGCCACATTCCCAGCCATCACTAACTTTTTGTAAAACCTGGCCGAGAGCCATGATCCCGCTTTTTTTTTTTTTTTGGTCTCCTGAGTAGTTAGGGTTATAGGAATGAACCACCATCCCCAGGCTTTCTTTCTTTCTTTTCTCATATTAATTGCTGGATGTGTTAAATATAAAATCACCTAAATAACAGAACCTAGAGTGATGCACCTTTCTCCAGAAATGATCTGTTTCCTTTGTAACTGGGAGTGCCCAATTTGAGCAGGAAAGCTCAGGGGCAACGTCCAGGCCCTGGGTTCAACCCCCAGTATCACACACACACACACACAAATACACACACAAAAAACGCAAGTCAAAAAGGGGGCTGGAGGCATAGTTCGAGTGGTACAGCGCTTACCTAGCAAACTTTGAGGCCGAGTGCAAAACCTAGTACGACCACACACACACACACACACACCTAAAAAGAGGCTGCGAATTCCTATCGATGCCCTGCTCCACGATTGAAGGCCCAACCTAGTGACAGAGCTCAGCAGCCACACTGCAGGCATTGGGCAAGCAACGCCAGCAGGTTGCCCTTTCGGCTTCTCCCAGAGCATCCAAATTATGGTGAGAGTCCCAGCACAACTGGAGGGAACCACACCGCAAGCAGGCCCGGCTCTGGAGGCGCCCTCCACCACTTCTCGCTGGTTCCCAGATGCTGCGCGGATCCCGTCGTTCCCCGCGCCGCTCCTGGTCGCCATGGAGACGAGGGCGGCTAGCCAATCAGCCAGGGACTGCGCGGCTCCCGTCGTTCCTCGCGCGCCGCTCCCCGTCGTCATGGGGACGAGGGAGGCCAGCCAATCCGCGCGGCCAGCTGCGCTCGCCCGAATCCCCCCGCGGCAGTAGGACCCGCAAGCGGCCCCCGAGGCCCGGCGGCGATGCTGAAGGTCAAGGTCCTCTTCGTGGGGCCCTGCGAGGTGAGGCTGGGCCCGGCGCGGTGCGGGGAGTGCCTGGGGGATCCCGGGGAACCACGGGAGGCCCACGACTGTGGCTTGGTGCAGAGGGCCGCAGGAGTTGGCGGCCCAGGGTCCCCTCCCGGCGGACGCCGCTGACCCTACTAGGCAGTCCCGCCTCACCGAGGCCGCGTAGTGAACGGCATCGTTGGAATCAGGGCCGTGCGCCGGTGCCGCACGCCGGTAATCCTAGACATCCAGGAAGCTGAGATCTGAAGATCGTGGTTCGAAGCCAGCCTGGGCAGGATAGTCTGTGACACGCTTATCTCCAATGACCCCCCCCCCCCCCCGAAATCTGGAAGTGGCGCTGTGGCTCAAATGGGTTGAGTGCTCACCTAGAGCACAGGCACTCAGGATCGCCCAGGCCCTGAATTCAAGCCCCACAACTGACAACAACAACAAAAAGGAGTCAGGGTCTGGGTCTCTGACCCTTTTTACTATCTTTCCCCATCCTGGGTCGTCCCTAACGAATGTTAATGACACAGAGAACCATAGCCAGGTGTGATGGCTCATGCCTGTAACTCTAGTTACTAAGGAAGCTGAGATTGGGAGGATAGAGCTTCCAGGTCAATTGAGGTAAAAAGGCAAGACTTCCATGCCTGTCATCTCAGATATCCAGAAGTGTAAATAGGATTGGGTCCTAGGCCAGCCTAGGCAAAACAGTGAAACACTATCTCAAAAATAACCAGAAGGGAGCTGGGTGCCGGTGGCTCCCGCCTGTAATCCTAGCTACGCAAGAGGCTGAGATCTGAGGATCACGGTTCAAAGCCAGCCCGGGCAAGGAAAGTCCATGAGACTCTTTATCTCCAATAAACAACTAGAAAACAGGAAGTGGCACTGTGGCTCAAGTGGTAGAGCGCTGACCTTGAACTGAAGAGCTGAGGGATAGCACCCAAGCCCAGAGTTCAAGCCCCACGACCAACCAAAAAATAATAATAACCAGAAGTAATTAAGTTGGGAGCATAGCCCAAGTGCTAGAGTGCTTGCAGGTGCAGACCCCGAAATTCAAATCCCAGTACCTGCTGGGCACCTGTGGCTCATGCCTGTAATCCTAGCTACTCAGGAGGTTGAGATCTGAGGGTCATGATTCAAAGCCAGCCCGGGCAGGAAAGTCCATGAGATTTATCTCCAGTTAACCACAAGAAAACTAGAAGTGGCACTGTAGCTCAAGTGGTAGAGCTCTCAGGCCCAGAATTCAAGCCCCATGACCAACAAAAAGACAAGAAACAAACAAAAAACCCAGTCCCATAATATTTGTTATATATGAATACACACACACACACACACACACACACACACACACACACACACACACACACACACACACACACACACACACACACACACACACACACACACACACACACACACACACACACACACAATGTTCTCTCATCTTTCATGCATATCAGAAACACCTGCAGAGTTTCTTTTTCTTTTTTTGGTTGGTTGTTGGGCTTTAACTCTGGGCTTGGGCGCTGTTCCTCAACTCTTCAGCTCAAGGCTAGTGTTCTACCTCTTGAGGCACAGCGCCACTTCCAGTTTTTTTCTAGTGGTTTATTGGAGATAAGAGTCTCACGGACTTTCCTGCCCGAGCTGGCTTTGAACCGTAATCCTCAGATCTCAGCCTCCTGAGTAGCTAGGATTACAGGCAGGAGCCACCGACGCCTGGCTTGGAGAGTTTCTCAAAATACAAATTACTGGGTCTTCCTTCATAGTTTTGATTAGTTAGGTTGGAAAATAACCTGTGAATTTAGATTTTTTTTTTTCTTTTTTCTGGTCATGGGGCTTGATCTCAGGACTCTGGCATTGTCCCTGCGCTTTTGCTTTTTTTTTTTTTTGTCAGTCATGGGTCTTGAACTCTGGGCCTGGGAGCTGTCCCTCAGCTCTTCAGCTCAAGGCTATCACTTTACCACTTGAGTCACAGCGTCACTTCCAGTTTTCTGGTGGTTAATTGGAGAGAAGAGTCTCATGGACTTTCCTGCTCAGGCTTTGAACTGCAATCACCACATCTCAGCCTCCTACTAGTTAGATGATAGACCTGAACCACCAGCGCCTGGCTCCCTAACCTTTTTTGCTCAAAGCTAACACTCTAGGGCTCGGAAAGTGGTTCAGTGGTAGAGTGCTTGCTTCGCATGCTTGAGGCCCTGGGTTCGATTCCTCAGCACCACATAAGCAGAAAAGCTGGAAGTGGTGCTGTGGCTCAAGTGGTAGAGCACTAGCCTTGAGCTGAAGAGCTGAGGGACAGCACTCAGGCCCAGAGTTCAAGCCCCACAATGGACAAAAACAAAACAAACAAAAACTCTACCACTTTGAGCTCCACTTCTAGTTTTCTGGTAGTTAGAGATAGAGTCTCCTGCCTGGCTGGCTTCAAATTGCAATCCTCAGATCTTAGCCTCCTGAATAGCTAGGCATAGGTGTGAGCCCTCAGCACCTAGCTTGTGTGTGTATGCCAGTAGAGAGGCTTGAATTCAGTGCTTCACACTCTTACTTGGCTTTTTCATTCAAGGCTAGTGCTCTACCATATGAGCCACTCCTCCACTTCCAGCTTTTTTTTGCTGGTTACTTGGAAATGAGAGTCTCATAGACGTTTCTAGCCAGGCTGGCTTCAAATCATGACCCTCAGCTCTCAGTCTCCTGAGTAGCTGGGGTTAAAGGAGTGATCCATCAAAGACCTTCACTATCTTATCTTCACAGAGTGGGAAAACCATTTTGGCCAACTTTCTGACCGAATCTTCAGACATCACAGAGTCTTCAGACATCACCAAGTACAACCCAACCCAAGGGGTGAGGTGAGCCTGCCCCAGAGTCTCCAGCTGTCACCCACCCTGTACAACTGGCATTTTGGGGGTTCCACAAATGGGATGCTTCTGAGTCAAGATATTGCTGCTATTTTGACTTTTAGGATCCTGGAATTTGAAAATCCAAATGTGACCAGCAACAATAAAGGCATGGGGTGTGAGTTCGAGCTCTGGGACTGCGGTGGCGACCTGAAGTACGTTTCCTTTAGAAAAGCTCTGTTTTATCAGATGACTGGAGGAGCAAACTGGTGGCTCAGTGTTACAGCACTCACCTCCGTCCTGGGTTCCAGACACAGAAAAAAAAATCTGTACCAGGCCATGAGGCCTAACATGTTCTCAAGCATGGTGCTTCTTGGGGATATGCATTGCTTGGTAAACTTTAGTAAGTGCCTTGTGATACAGTTGAATTCCTCAACCAGTCAGTGATACGAAGATAAAAGGTTTTGGTTTGTTTTGAGCTCAGGGACTTTCCTCTTGGCTTGGCTTTTTCTGCTCAAGACTAGCCCTCTGTCACTTAAGCCACAGCTCCGTTTCTTGCTTTTCAGTGGTTAATTGGAGATAAGAATCTCAAGGACTTTTTTGCTTGGGCTGTCTTCGAACCATGATTCCTCAGATCTCAGCCTCTTAAGTAACTGGGATTAGAGACATGAAACATCAACTCCTGGCAATAAAGCTCGCAGCGAGAAATGGGAGATTTAGCTCACTAGTAGTGTGTCTGGCACCTCTAAATTGGCTTCCCAGCTTATTTTTCTCTCTCTCCTCTCTGTCTCATACGCACACAAAATACACATAAGGTAAGGTAGGCTGTACACAGATGACTAACTTTTTTTTGATTGGTCGTGGGGCTTGAACTCTGGGCCTAGGTGTTGTCCCTGAGCTCTTCAGCTCAAGGTATGAGCTCTACCCATTTGAGCCACAGCACCACTTCCAGTTTTCTGGTGGTTAATTGAGAGATAAAAGTCTCTCAGACTTTCCTGCTTGTACTAGCTTTGAACCATAATCCTCAGGTCTCAGCCTCCTGAGTACCTAGGATTATAGGCGTGAGCTACCGGCACCCAGCTTTTACTCTTTTTTTTTTTTTTTTTTAATTTTTTTGGTCAGTAGTGGGGCCTGAACTCTGGTCCTGTGCACTGTCCCTCAGCTCTTCAGCTCAAGACTAGTGCTCTAACACTTAAGCCACAGCACCATTTCTGGTCTTCTCTACTTATGTGGTGCTGAGGAATTGAACCCAGGGCCTCAATGCATGCAAAGCAAGCGCTCTACCACTGAGCCACCTTCCCAGCCATGCCCCCCCTGCCCCCAGCTTTTACTCTTGTAAGCAAAAAAGCTAAGGGCCTAAGCCAGCTAGGCCCTAAGTTCAAGCCCCAATATTGGCACAAGTTAAAAAAAAAAAAAAACTAAGGCAAGGTGGGCTAACACTGGCTCTGACACGGTTTTTGCCCTGCAGGTTTGAGTCCTGCTGGCCTGCCCTGATGAAGGACGCTCACGGCGTGGTGATTGTCTTCAATGCCGACATCCCCAGCCACCTGAAGGAGATCAAGATGTGGTATTCCTGCTTCGTCCAGCAGCAGTTCCTCCAGGATGCCCAGTGTCTGCTTGTTGCACACCACAAACCCGGCTCCGGAGGGGATGTGGGGAATCTGGCTTTGAGTAAGGACACATGGATTTGTCTCCCTCCTTTTGTCCCCAGTTATGTGTGGGCATCCATCGGTCTGCTTGGGTTGTGGTGTTGTCCTGCTTGTTTGATTTGGGTAGAGGGTTTTGGTTTGTTTTCTGGCAGTACAAGGATTTGAACTCAGGGCCTAATTCTTGCTAGGCAGCTGCTCTGCAACTTGAGCTATGCCTCCAGCTTGGTTTGGTATGTTTGAGCAAAAGTCATACTCACCAGTAGTGTGGCACTCACCTGTAGCCAAGGCTAGCCTCAGACTTGCCATTTAGCCCAGGCTAGAATCATCTTCCTGCCTCAGCCTTCTGAGTGCCAAGATCACAGGTGTGTGCCGCCATGCCCAGTTGCATTTTATGTTAGTTGGGTTTTTGTGGTTGGTTTCATTTTTTAGATTAAAAAAAAAAATGTTTTTGAGGGATTGTGGCATGGTGGTAGAGTGCTTGCCTGGTATGCATGAAGCCCTGGGTTTGATTCTTCAGTACCACATACTCAAAAAAAGTTGGTAATGGGCTGGGAAGGTGGCTCAGTGGTAGAGCGCTTGCCTTGCATGCATGAGGCCCTGGGTTTGATTCCTCAGCACCACATAAACAAAAAGAAAAAAGCTAGAAGTGGCACTGTGGCTCAAGTGGTAGAGTGCTAGCCTTGAGCTGAAGAGCTGAGGGACAGCGCCCAGGCCCAGAGTTCAGGCCCCACGACTGGACACCCCCCCCCCAAAAAAAAGAAAAAAAGTTGGAAGTGGCACTGTGGCTCAAGCGATAGAGTGCTAGACTTGAGCAAAAGAAGCTCAGGGACAGTGCCCAGGCCCTGAGTTGGAGCCTCAGGACTGGCAAAAAAAAAAAAAGTTTTTGAAATCACACCTGTGCTCCATTTCTGAGCACCTGCTGTATCTCAGCACTGGGTGGGCTCACCATGTCCCTGAGATTTGCCAGGTTGGAAGCCTTAAGGCCTCCAGGCCATGTTGTGGAGCCTTTTCTGCCAGGCAGACACTAAGACAGGGAGAAGTGTGGCACGTGAAGCTCATACCTGTAATGCAGAGGATCATACTTTGAGGCTAGCCCAAGGAGAAAAGTCTGCCAGACTCCATGTCTAAACTAACCAGCAACAAGCAGGGTCAGGGTGTGGCACCAAGGATACAGCACTGGCCTTGAGTGGAGAAAGCGGAGATAAAGTGTGAGGTTCAAGCTCCAGTAGCAGTGCATGCAAACACCCCCCCACACACACACCACACACACATACACAAATTGGCTTCTGGAAATCTTGGGTTCCTGCCTAATTAGCTTTCTTTCCCTTTTTTAAGCTCCGCCCTTGACCAAGCTGAAGTTAGTACACTCCAATCTCGAGGAGAACCCTGAGGAGATCCGCATGGAATTTGTAAAATATTTAAAAAGCATCATCAGTTCTGTGTCTGAGAGCAGAGACAGGGAGGAAATGTTAATTTTTACCTGACTACCACCTCCCAATAAAATCCGCTTCTTCCTTGTGCAGAACTGAGCTCTCATTCAGGGAGGGACCCTCATTTCCTTTGCTATGCCTTGTACATACTGAAGAGACTCTCCCTATCTTCTAGAAAGTTCGTCAGAGCCAGAACCAGTGGTTCATGCCTATAATCCTAGCTACTCAGGAGGCTGAGATATGAGGATCGTGGTTCAAAGCCAGCCCAGGCAGGAAAGTCCATGAGACTCTTATCTCCAATAAACCACTACAAGAAAAACCGGAAGTGGCACTGTGGCTCAAGTGGTAGAGTGTTCCCCTTGAGCTGAAGAGTGCAGGGACAGCCCCAAGCCCAGGGTTCAAGCCCCACGACCGACCAAAAAAAAAAAGAGAGAAAGTTCCTGTCGGTCCCAGTGAAGGACTGTCCCATAGTGCTCTGGCCTTAAGTGTAGTTGAACTGGGAAAAATGCTATCACAAATTCTGACTTCCCGGACTGGGAATGTGGTTTAGTGGTAGAGTGCTTGCCTATTATGCATGAAGCCCTGAGTTCGATTCCTCAGCACCACATAAACAGAAAAAGCCAGAAGTAGCACTGTGACTCAAGTGGTAGAGTGCTAGCCTTGAGCAAAAGAAGCTCAGGGACAGTGCCCAGGCCCTGAGTTGAAGCCCTGGGACTGGCCAAAAAAAAATCTGTTTTCCTGGCCTGCAACCTTTCTGAAGAGCTAGAAAATTCAGGGGTTATTTGCCCCTTCACATTTTTCAGACTGTAAAAACTGTGGAATTGTAACTACTATTGCCCAAAGATACAAAAGCAGTTGAATCCACATGTGTTGATTTGGTTGTGACTTTTTCTTCCCTTGGGCACTGGGGCGTGAATTCAGGTCTTCACACTCTATTTTTATTTTTTATTTTTATTTTTGCCAGTCCTGGGGCTTCAACTTAGGGCCTGGGCATTGTCCCTGAGCTTCTTTTGTTCTCAAGGCTAGCACTCCACCATTGAGCCACAGCACCACTTACAGTTTTTTCTGTTGTACTGAGGAATCCAACCCAGGGCTTCATGCATGCTAAGCAAACACTCTACCTCTAAGCCACATTCCCAACCTACTCTTATCTTTTTGTACTCAAGGCTGGCTCTCTACCACTTGAACCACAGCTCAACTTCCAGCTTTTTGCCGGTTCATTGGAGAGAAGAGTTTCATGGACTTTGCTTTCTGGGCTTGCTATGAATCACAAGATCTCAGCCTCCTGAGTAGTTAGGATTACAGGCGTGAGCCACTGATGTTTTTTTATTTTTTTCAGAACTAGGGATTAAACTCAAGGTTTGTTTGTTTGATTCATTTAATAAATCCCATCTGGTTGAGTACTCTGCGAGAGCCACTATTCTAGCTGCTGAGCACATATAGCCTGATGAAATTTTAGAAATTACTATCTTTATGAAGCTTCCGTTTTATTTTTCTAAATAATAGTAAAATAAAGTATAAAATGTATTGTGTTTTGGGTAGGCAGGCAAAAATTTTTTTAAATTGATATTTTTTTCATTTCTCTTTACTTGTTTTAAGTTTCCTTTTGAGTCCAGCCGAGCTGGTCTTGAACCAGCCTGTTTCCTGAGTGCTGAGATTAACAGGTGCGCCCACCACATTCTTCATTTTCTAAACCTGGTGTAAAATGCTCTTGCTTCCACCTTCCCACCCCACTCCAAGATAAAGCAGGGACCTGGAGATAACTAAGCCCAGTGAAGGACCATTGTTTTCAGGGGAGGGAGTACGTGCAGAGCACTCTGGGAGATGTAGTTCCGCATCCCACCCCCTACCACTTCCTCTTGGGGGGGGGGGAAACAGAAGTTGCGCGTTCCCAGTGTACTCTGGGAGATGTAGTCTTCCTTCCATAGATTACCGTTTTATTGAACGGCGATCAGAGGTGGAGCGTTCATGGAGCATTCTGGGAATTGTAGTTCGTGCCGCCACTTTCGTGTCCGGGGCACTCTGGGAGATGTAGTTCCTTGTCCTCACAAGCTGCCCGATCTCCCCTGGCCACTAAGGCCGTGTGGAAAGGGTGCGGGGACAGCCCATTTTTGGAGCCGCGGTGGCGGGGATCAGTCTGTGTGCTGTTACTCGCAGGTCAGCAATGGCCGCTAAGCTGACGAGCCGGCCGTCGCGAGCCCTCTCCGTGTCCGTGATAACTGGTTCACCGCTGAGGACTCTGGGAACTGTCGTTGGCGGTTGCTGGGCCCGAGCCGGTAGACCGAGCAGCTGCCGTTACCGTTCGCCACTGGTCAGAGCGAGTCGCCCTGGACGGTGAGGACGCCAGTGTCGAGGAGTCGAGGACGACCAGCGGCATCGCCGGGCCAGGACAGGGCTGGAGGCTCGGGGACGCGGCCTTCGTGCCGGGGCGTGGCCTGCGGCAGGGGGCGCGGCCTTCGCGCCGGGGCGTGGCCTGCGGCAGGGGGCGCGGCCTGCGGCAGGGGGCGTGGTCTGCGGGCCCGGGGCGTGGTCTCGTGAGGAGGCAGCTGGGCTCCAGGTTGGCCAGAAGCCATGTGGATACGGTGGTTGGCGACAAGGTATGGCCCGAGTGGAGTCGAGTGCTGACTGCACAACCCGATCAAAGTCTTTTAAGTTTTCTTGGCTTCCATTTATCCATGCCAAATAAAAGGTTAGATGAAGAAGAACCAACCCATGAAAGTCACCTTTCATTACTAGTTTTTTTTTTCGTCGTGGGGTCTTGAACTCTGGGCCTGGGCGCTGTCCCTCAGCTCTTCAGCTCAAGGCTAGTGTTCCACCACATGAGCCACAGCGCCACTTCCGGTTTTCTGGTGATTAATTGGGGGCACGCCATGCCTCCGAAATGGGCGGGGCATGCCGCCGGGGGCGGGGTGTGCTGCTGGAGGGGGCGGGGCGTCAGCCCACATGCAGAGCTGTCGAGAAGCGATTGCACAGTGGGCAGCTGGGGGGCGGAGCATGAGTGGCAGTTGGAAAAACCGTTGGGGGGAAAAACAGTGAGTCCTGTGGGAATAGGGTAAGAGCCGGGGAGTGGAGTGGAGAGTGGGAGAAGAGAGACGGAGAGGAGAGAGGGACAGCCGGAGGGGAAAGCCTGCCCCGGCCTGGCCTGGCCCGTGGAGGGTAGGGCAAGCCTCCTTGAGGCGGCCGTTGGGGACCTCCTCCGGAGGTCATTCGGGGCCTCCCCCTGGAGAGGCCTGTGCGAGGCGCCTCCCGGAGCAGAGCAGCGCAGGCCTGCGGAGGGCGGAGAGGCCTGCCGTGGAGGAGGAAGGGAAGAAAGGGAAAAGCCTTCCCCTTTGGGGGTTTGGAGCTTTGGAGGCCAGAAGTTTGGAGGTTTGCAGACTGACTAATAGGTGGTTTGCAGACCAACTAATAAAGGTCAGAGCTGCCTCTTGGAGGTTGGAGGTCGAGGCTGCTCTTGGTTCTGGGTATCTAGCCCAGGACAAGGTAGTCGCAGGCCCCTTTCTAGTGTAAATAGTGTAAATAAATTTGTTGTCTTTAACTGTGCCTCCATGGATTGTCTCTTTAGAGGTCATAATTTTTTAACCACGATGCTCAGATCTCAGCTTCTTGAATAGCTAGGATGACAGGTGTGAGCCACCAGCACCCAGCTATATATGTTTGAGACTGAGCCTCTTCTGGAATTCTGTCTTCCCACTCCAGACTCCCCAGTGTGGGGATTACAAGCATGTGCCACAACACCTGTTGTTGTTGTTTTATTTTTTATTTTTATTTTTTTGGTCACAGGGCTTGAACTCTGGGCCTGGACGCTGTCCCTCAGTTCTTAAGCTCAAGGCTAGTGCTTTACACACTTGAGCCACAACACCACTTCTGGTTTTCTGAGTGGTTTATTGGAGATAAGAATCTCATGGACGGGCTGGGAAGGTGGCTCAGTGGTAGAGCGCTTGCTTTGCATGCTCAAGGCCCTGGGTTCGATTCCTCAGCACCACATAAGAAAAAAGCCGGAAGTGGCGCTGTGGCTTAAGTGGTAGAGCACTAGCCTTGAGCTGCAGAGCTGAGGGACAGTGCCCAGGCCCAGAGTTCAGGCCCCACGACCGGACCCAAAAAAAAAAAAACAAAAAACAAAAAAGAATCTCATGGACTTTTCCTGCCCAGGCTGGCTTTGAACCGAGATCCTCAGATCTCAGCCTCCTGAGTAGCTAGGATTATAGGCGTGAGCCACAGGCACCCCACTTATCTGTTGTTTTTCTTACTGCTTATGATGTGGGACCGTACTATCCAGCCTAGGGCTCTTCCCTCTGCTTCCCTCCTCCCTTCACCTTCCTGCCCTTGGCTGGGGCCTCAACTCAAAGGCCTCCAAAGCTTTGTACAGCTTGCAGCTGTCCCGGAGCTGCTGCTCCAGCCCTCCCCCCTACTCCACCCAAAAGGGCACCCCAGGACTCTGCCCTTGGAGATGATTAATCCACACCCCTCTGGACAGCTACCTCCACACCTGCTGGCCACGCCTTCCGCCTGCATGGCTCCTCCCACACCTCACACTTCAGTCCATTTTTTTTGTTGTTGTTGGTCATGGTGCTTGAACTCTAGGTCTGGGCACTGTCCCTGAGCTCTTTAGCTCAAAGCTAATGCTCTACCACTTAAGCCACAGCACCAATTCCAGTTTTCTGATCCCTAATTGGAGATAAGAGTCTCATTGCCTTTCTTGTTGGGCTGGCTTTGAATCGCAATCTTCAGATCTCAACCTCCGGAGTAGCTAGGATTACAGGTGTGAGCCACCGGTGCCCAACTCAGTCATTCCTTTTTTTTTTTTTTTTTTGCCAGTCCTGGGGCTTGAACTTAGGGCCTGGGCACTATCCCCTTAGCTGCTTTTGCTCAAGGCTAGCACTCTACTACCTGAGCCACAACACCACTTCCAACTTTTTCTATTTATGTGGTACTGAGGAATCAAACCTAAGGCTTCATGCATGATAGGCAAGCACTGTGCCACTAAGCCACATTCCCAGCCCTTCAGTCATTTCTTTATCTTCTCCCAGATTTGTTTTTATGTGCCAGGCCTGGAGCTTCAACTCAGGGCTTAGGTCCTGGGTCTCTGAACT